GCCCTGATGTGAAGACCTACTGAAGGATATTATTGGTGATGCTGCAGGTCTTTGCAAAGAGAAGTCAAGAACATTTATGATGAGTACGCAAGCTCACTCCACCAGATCAAGAGACACGTGGCAGAGTAGATGTGTGTGGAGATTTCAGGGTTCATTGTGAATGTAGCAACCAATCGACTGGATGGAAAAGAAGAGGAGGAACAAGATTGGCCAGAAGCAGGCTCCCGCTTTCAGACAACAAGCAGTAAGTCAAGCTTCTCTAAAAGCAGCAGCAAGTCACACAGTTCTCAAAGTATTACAAGAACAAGAGAAGGAACAGAAAGAAATTGCTAAACTTGAAACTGAAGTCAGGAAAAAGGCTGCAGAGCGAGAAGCATTAGTCAAGCAAATGAGCTTAGAAAGAGAGGCAGAGGAAACTAAGCTGAGAATGCAAAGAGAAGCAGATGATTCAAAGTGAAAGACTCAACAAGAAGAAGAGAATGCAGCTATGCAAAGAACACGATGAAAAGAAAAGGAAGATACGACACTGGGAAAAGGTCAAAGATCTAAAAGCAGTGTCTCGGCTGAGACTCCACCAGTACCTGGACACCTGACTCCTCATCTTAATATTTTATTCTTTTTTTAAAATGGAAAAAAATCCGGAAAAACGTTTAAACCTTGGTTTTATTACACTGCTCGCCCCTGGATTTGAATCTTGTTTTTAAATGGGTCCTAGTCCCTCACTAGGTGACGGTGTATTTTATCTCCATTTTTAAAGTTGTTCATTTTCTTACACCTCTTGCACACACCACTCGGCCACACATAAGCTTCAGAGGTGATGCAGAAAAGGTCTCTGACGAAGAGGTAGACAACAGTCCTGCCTGGTAGATCCCACAGCATGGCGTCTATCACCCGCACAAACCAGAGAAGATCAGGGAAGGATTTGATGCCTCTGCCAAGTATCAAGACACTTGTCTCAACGACCTCCTGTTAACCGGTCCTGACCTGACGAACATGTTGGTTTTCACAAAAGTTCTGTCACATTCATGTGTGATACAGAGTGAATGTTTCACCAGTTCCACGTCACACAAGAGAGGGTCAAGATTACTGAAGGTGTCTTTGGTGAGAGAAGGGAGATTTGGAAGTAACACCATCAGTCCATCCAATGAGAGTCCATCTTTTTGGAGCAGCGTCTTCTCCAGGCTGTGCCAACTTTGACCTAGAACACCTCACCAACCAAGGTCCAGGTTGAGTCCAAGAGAACACCATACACTTCATACAAAGGAACTTCTACGTTGATGACAGCTTGGCAAGTGTTCCAACTGAAAGCGAAGCCATTCAACTTATCACAGACTGAGAGCTATGCTCTACAGGAAAGATAAGACTCCACAAGTTTGTGTCCAGCAGTGAAATTGTTCTGTCCACTATTCCAGAAGAAGAGCGTGCCGCATTGAAAGAGCTCTTGGAGTAGAATGGTGCATCACATCGCACACTTTCAAGTTCAGAGTTCAAGTCAAGTGGAATCCACTGACAAGAAGAGGTGAACTTTTCACCGTAGCCTCTATCTACGATCCTTTAGGCTTTATCGCACCGTTTGTCCTCCTAGGCAAGCAGATTCTTCAGCAAATGGGATCAGCTGATTGGGATCAAGAGCTTCCAGAGCACTTAGAGCCCCAGTGGGAGTCTTGGATCAAAGATCTTCCAAGTTTAGCCAACGTATAGATTCCAAGATGTTTCATTCCTATGGATTTTGGACAAGTCAAAAGCTATGAGCCTCATCACTTTGCAGATGCCAGTGTCAGTGGATGTGGTGCATGTACTTACCTTCAAGTCATTAACCAATCAGATCAAGTCCACTGTTGCTTAGTAATGGCCAATACAAGAGTCGCACCCACGAGTGTCACGACTATCCTTCGACTCGAGCTCTCAGCAGCAGTTGTTGCAGTCAGAGTGGATGATCTACTCAAGACAGAGCTTGAAATTACAAACATTCAAGAGTTTTTCTGGACAGACTCCACCGTCGTTCTCGGCTACATAAATAACGACGCCAGGAGATTTCATACCAAGGATCAAGACAAGCACAAGACCAGAACAGTGGGCGCATGTCACGTCAGAGCAGAACCCTGCCGACCACGCTTCTCCAGGCTCAACTGCAGAACGAGTCAAGTCCTTGACAGAGAGACAAAGAGACAGAGAGACAGAGAGACAGAGAGACAGACAGACAAAGAGACAGAGAGACAGAGAGACAGAGAGAGAGACAGACAAAGAGACAGAGAGGCAGACAGACAGAGAGACAAAGAGACAGAGAGACAGACAGAGAGACAGAGAGAGGCAGGAGCTGAGGCTCAGGCTGGGTGAGAGGGAGAGGAAAAGGGAGCCAGGTGGGGCTGAAGCAGGAAACCTGACAGGTTTGACTTTTATCTCTTCAGATTTTTTGGCATTTTTCATTTAAAATTTTTTTTATTTTTAAATCTCTTCAGATTTTTTGGCATTTTTCATTTAAAATTTTTTTTATTTTTAATTTAACTTTTTATTTTTTTAGCTCTTGTCAGTGTGGTTTTAATATTTGTCGCTAATCCTGTAGGCCAGCGGTCTTCAACCTTTTTTGCACCACGGACCGGTTTTAAGCAAGAAATGTTTCTACGGACCGGTCATTAGGCACATAACAAATAATAATTGGTTTTTTTTCTATTGAAAAGTTTCATAAATGAATAAAATTAATTTTTTTTGCTTAACATGTTTACTTTTTCTCCTGTCTCAGTATCAAGTCTCTCCCACTTTCCAAAGCAGCTCTCCTGAGACGTTTGTTGTTGACTGACGACTTCGTTTAGCAGCCGGGCATAAAAACTGACAGTCAAGTGACGGGAAGACGAGCTAGTCATTTTTCAAAATAAAATACCCTGCAGACTCCGCTGGAAATAAAAATTAACCAATGAAACGTTTTTATTCTATCTGTGCGACCCGGTACCGGTCCGCGGCCTGGTGGTCTGGGACCGCTGCTGTAGGCTATTCATTTCTGTGAACTATTTTTTAAAATCTCCTCAGTTTGCAAACATTTCTTCCTTTCCATTCGTATGTTTCCTTCTGGACCTGATCCAGCAGCAGTCCCACTCAGACCTCTGACCTGAATCATGAACCTTTGATCGAGATCACATTACATTTATTGCTTAGTGAGCGTGAGCTGCAGCCTGGTGACGTTCCAGGTCCAATAAAACAGAACTCTGACCTGCAGTTTGATGCTCAGAATCTGATGTTCAGCCATTTTATCCTGACACCTGAAGCCAGCGCACATATTTAACGTAAGTAAGATTACTCATTATTTACTTGAACAAAACCTAAACAGGTGGGTCATTCCACCTCAACTCATCAAATTAAAAAAACAGTTCACGTCTGATCATCTCATATTTGTCAGATGTTTTTTCTGTGCAAACGTGTAAAATCTGGACTCACAGGTAACATCAGACTTAATTCTTGGAGTTGATTTTTGCACCGTTTTCTGTGGATCGATGTTTAAAGCCTGAACTTGAGAGATAACAGCTGGAGTCCTGAAGTTTCTCAGGTTCATTGATCCGTACATCTGGTCTTCAGTGGTCCGACCTGCTTTGACAGAATGATTTGAAGCACTAGGGTTTTCCTTTTAGCCCTGTAACAATATCACAGAACTCTTCCAGCTGTGTAATTATGATCAAATTTAGGTCATTTTGAACTTTTGTTTTGTCATTGTGGACAGATTTTAACTAACTGTGGACAAGTGTTTGTGAGTGCAAAGTTATTGTGACTCGTTAGAGACACAATAAACACAACAAAGAGTCCAAACTCTGCTTTTCAGTTCCTCTTCTCCTTCAGTGTGTCATACAGCTGCTGTTTGAGATGTGTTTTAATACACATACTGAGTAACTTCAGTTAATTTTAAGCTACTTTGGACATTTTTTTATTATTAATATTAATATTCAGGTTATTGGTACTTTTGTGTTAATATTCAGGTTATTGGTACTGCTGAAGACATTTTACTCATAGTCCTCATGTGAAGTTTGCTGTAGTGGGTGTTTATTAGTATTCCGGTATACGGTGGGCTCACCAACACAGAGCATGAGTCTGTGAAGGTGGACCGACCCTCAACATCTGCAGAGTCACACATTTATAGGGTAAGTCAGAGGGTAGGGGGGGCCTGTATGTAAATACAGAGGTGAATAGAGGTAAATTAACATACAGTAGCTAATCAAATGGCAGGAGGTAAGGGGGCAATGAACCACAGGGGGTGGAATCGGGGGTCTGTGGCAGGAGGTAGGAAAACACATGACAACAGGGAATGAATTCAGGGGTCTGTGACCATCAAAATAAAAGAAAATGACTTTCTTCATCAGTACTTTTTGTGTTAATATTCAGGTTATTGGTACTTTTTGTGTTAATATTCAGGTTATTAATTCATTATTTTATTATTATATGTTATTAAGTATTAATTATTCAAACAATCAGTTGATCACTTGTTAATGCAGTTTAGTTGTTTGAATGGTTTCTTTAAACAGGTATTTGAACCCCAACACCAGCTGAACTGTCTGTTAGCTTGAGGAGTGGTTTGGTTCGTTGATTAGGAGGAACCATCAGTGTAGTTTCCATTTTTTTAGACTAGTGTAAGAAATGATGCATGTTTCTACTTTACATTAACAACAACGGAGTTGAAACAAACTGGAAGCTGGACTATGATTGCTAAGAGAGCTTTCCTTTGTATGGCTCACTTGACGTGACTTTCACCCCGTTATAAACTGACATGTCTGTATCTCACTGGACGTTCTTCAAATGTTTAGTTTTTGCTGCGATGAACACTTTTATGTTTGGTCGTACACCTGTACTTGGTGGTGCTGATGTCAAAGCCGACTGCAACCTTGTTTTAAAGAGTCTTTGTATTCGTCTTGTCTGTCCAGGTCTGGGGATCAGACGGACCCGTCACAGCCTCCAGCCGCCATGAAAACCAAAATAAATCTGCTCCATTCTCATTTCTAAGAAATAACGTAGAAACCACTATGGCAGACGACCAGGTCCAGATAACACGGTGGACTTCAGGTACGCGCACAACATTTAACTCTGCAGGTGAAATAAATGACAGCTGTTGAACACATGACACCACATCTTGGTGAAAAAAAATCTATTCATCCATTTGGAAACCAGTTAAATAATTTCTGTTCTTTACTAGAGTCATTAAACATGTTCCTGTTGCAGACCAGAATCACTGCCAATGTCCACAGTCCAGACAAACATGGACAACAACAACCTCCCTGTTCATACTACAGAGATAAGAATAATAAAACAAATATGACTGGTTATGGTTCTTGTAGTAAAACTTTTATGGTATATCATAAAAATATTTGGCGAAACCAAGTACTGCCTCGTTCTTTGACACTTGATTCTCTTTGAAAAAGTGCTACAGATACAGTTGAAGGACAATCAGCTTCTTCAGGCATGTGCTAAACAAAAACATCAACAGATGTAATGTAAGGTTGCCCTTCCTGTGTTACAGAGGATGCCATTATGTTTGAATGAATGCAGTGACGTAAAGGGAATACAGTGCCTACAGAAAGTATTCACGCTTCCACAGAGGTTTTCCTTTTATTGCTTTTAAGCACCAGATTAACTTCATGCTTTAGTGCCCTGAGGACACGCTGTCTGCTCACCTTACTAGTCTAAATGAACTATAAATCTCATTATCTGTTAATATGTCACCTTCTGTATTTGTTTGCTGAAACCGACTAAACTCGTCAGTTTAACTTTAGCTTAACTTTCTGTGCACATCATAAAATGTTCTTGAAGCTGTGGTTAAATAAAAATCCTAAATAAGCCATAATGTGGTCATAAGAAGGCTGAATAAATGAATAAATGTATTTGTTTCTGTGTCCTCACAGTGTCAGATGATGTGCAGCCTGTGAAGCGAAGAAGCAGCATTGATATCTTGCGACCTGAGAGTAAGTCAAACGGCACTGAGTGAGGTTATTCTGTTTTTGTTTTTCTAATAAAATCTGAATCTTAGTGTTTCTGTGGATCCCACCTGTTACATTGGCAGTAAGTTACTGAACACCCAAACTTAAGAGTTCTACTAAGTGTGAGGCTTAAATCTAACTTTACTTTGCTTCAATTTGAGCTAACAAAACCTTCATTCATAGCCACTTTCTTTTCTTTACATTGTGTCTCATTATGTTGATCAACCACCGCTCCATGCTTTACTTCACTGACCTTGGAGGAGTCTCAGGCTTTGGATGTTTGCAGCGTAAATTTTATGAGCAGTAAAAATGAAGTGCCTTAACTCTGGGTTTCCTCACTACAACCAGGTGGTGTTGGATACAGTGCCTACAAAAGTATTCACTTCTGTGGGAATTGTTTTTTTATTGCTTTTTGACATTAAATTGTGCTCAATTTAATTTGACCCTTTTGACAAGAATTACATAAAAAAGTTTTCATGTCAAACTAAAAACAGATTTCTACAAGAACATTATTTTAAAATATAAAACTTAAGGACAGTGATTACAAAAATATTTACTGCCGTACAGTTGATTCACCTAATTCAATAATACAGTGCACTCAGGGCACGGTAATGAATCGATATAAAAGGTTGTTGAAAAGCATCAGTCAGGAGACGATACAAGAACATCTCCAAGATACTGAACATCTCTGGAGTCCAGTTAAATCCATCATTAACACATGGAAGGAACATGGACCATGAGTAGATCTGACTAGAGCAGGACGTCCTCAGAAACTGAGTGACCGAGCAAGAAGGAGACTAGAGAAGGAGGCCACCAAGACTCCTATGACTCCTCTGAAGGAGTTAAAAGCTAGTATCCACCATCATGCTTGCGGTGGGGATGGTGTGTTTATAACTCAGAGATTTCCTTTTTAGACATTAGACTGACAATAATTGGCAGAAGCATCCATTCACTTTTTGTCTTGAATTTGACAACGATATAAACAATAATAATACAGAATATCACCAGTCTTATGGCCTACTCACACTGTTCACATCATTCGTATAATCATGGGCACAGCTGCTGCAGACAAATAAACTGTTTCCTTTGTAACTGTAAGTGTCAGAACTTCAAAGTCTAGGATGAGTTCTCTTTGGGAGCAACACCGAGCTTCTCTTAAAGCTGTGAAATGGTGAACAGCGACACAGAATCAGCATCAGCATGTTTTTTTGTGCCTCGAAAGTGACGTAGTCAAAGTACAACAAGGAGACATTACTTTGGAGGCACAGCAGGGCCAACCTTTCATGACTAACTTTATGCATTCATGTTTGAATTTTTAGTGTCTGAGCAGAAGGTGGTTCTTCTGGGGAACAGCTGGTCTGGGAGGAGTTCTGTTGGAAACTTCATACTGGGAGAGAAGAAGTTCAACACTGAGGTAGAACCAGAGAGATGTCAAAGTGTCAGAGGACGGCAGAATGATAGACAAATGGTTCTGATCAACACTCCAGATCTGCTGCATCCAAACATCTCTGACGACAAACTAACAGAACATGTAGAACTCTGTGTGAGACTCTCTGCTCCTGGACCTCATGTGTTCCTGCTGGTTCTACAGCCTGAAGACTTCACTGAGGAACACAGACTGAGGCTACAAACAGTCCTGAAGCAATTCAGTGATCAATCGTTTGATCGCTCAGTTGTTATGATGTTAACAGCCAGAGAGGAGGGTTTGGTTGGGTACCCGAACCAGCCACCCATAAACGACATCATCAAAAGCTGTAGAAGCACATTTTTATGGAGGGAGACAACTGAACATTCAGAGCTGATGAAATGTTTGGACCAAATTGAACGGGTCAACAAAGGAAGCTCTGAGTCATCAGTGGCTTCAACAATCTCTGACATCAGTGTTACAGGTAAGTGAGTGTAATCAGTGATGGCATACCCACATGGACAGAATAGTTGGTAATGAAGAAAAAACCCACAACAGTCACAGAAATAACTTGAATCTGAAAAAAGTAACAATAAATAAAAATACTATTAAAATTAACCAATGAAACTCAGACATTGCTTTTGAACCGTGGTTCAACAGAATTAATTTAAAAAATAAACTCATGAAACAGGCCTGGACTAAAATGATGGTCCCCTTAACGTAATATGTTGTTGCTCAACCTTTTGAGGCGATCACTACAATCAACTGTAACTGTCAGTGAGACTTGTGCACCTCTCAGCAGGTGTTCTGGTCCACTCCTCATGAGCAGACACCGCTTAATCCTCACCAGGGTCATGGGGGGCTGGAGTCTATCCCAGCTGACTCAGGGTGAAGGCAGGTTCACCTGGACAGGTAACCAGTCTATCACAGGGCTACACTTAGAGACAGACAACCAAGCACACTCACATTCACACCTACGGACAATTTACAATCACCAATTAACCTCAGCATGTTTCTGGACTGTGGGAGGAAGCCGGAGAACCCGGAGAGAACCCACGCTGCACGGGGAGAACATGGAGACTCCACGCAGGAAGATCCCGGTGGCCCCAAAAAGGATGCGAACCGGCGACCTTCTAGCTGTGAGGCAACAGTACTCTAATGTAAATTATCAAACTTAAAATTATAAATAGTACCAACAACACCACATAGGGGCTGCAAGGTGGCGCAGTTGGTAGCACTGTTGTCTTGCAGCAAGAAGGTCGCTGGTTCATGTCCTGGTGGGGGCACCAGGATCTTTCTGCGTGGAGTCTCCATGTTCTCCCCGTGCAGCGTGGGTTCTCTCCGGGTTCTCCGGCTTCCTCCCACAGTCCAGAAACATGCTGAGGTTAATTGGTGATTGTAAATTGTCCGTAGGTGTGAATGTGAGTGTGCTTGGTTGTCTGTCTCTAAGTGTAGCCCTGTGATAGACTGGTTACCTGTCCAGGTGAACCTGCCTTCACCCTGAGTCAGCTGGGATAGACTCCAGCCCCTGCGACCCTAGTGAGGATTAAGCGGTGTATAGATAATGGATGGATGGATGGATGGAACACCACATCGACTTTCCTACAGGGTACCATGTAAGGTGAACGTATGTCTAGTCCAGACACGATTTGTCCATGCAGTGAGATCTGCAGCGGCCAAATGCATAGTATGTCCATCACTAGAACATCCCCTTTCTTAAAAGTTAGCATTCAAAAGTGACAGATGACAGAAGAACTTCACATCTCGCCTCAGGTTGGGTTCATCTCGTCAATGTAAATGTGTTGTGCTACTTCCACTGTTAACACCACTGCACATGGTAGAACACAAAAAAAGCAATAACTGGCTCAGACACGGCTCGCGTTACTTTCCACAAAAAAAAAATCATTACTTTCCATTTTTGTGCAAAGCTCTGATAAGCCACTGCACCCGTGGCCTGAGTGCATGTATGTGAGGACACACACAACTGTGTGTTATTTCATTGTTGTTCTGTTTATCTGACGTTCTCTCATTGTTGTATCACAGCCTCTGCATTCAGAATCGTGCTGCTGGGGAAAAGTGACGACAAAAAGACAAGACTTGGACATTTAATCCTTAGTAAAAAAGACACTCACTTCTCAAAACCATCTTCAGTCAATCAATGTCCTGTCGCCGATGGGGAGTGGAAGGGAAAAACTGTAACAATCTGTAAACCTAAGAATCTCTTCAGGCTGCCTGTAGAGGCATTAGAAGAAGAGATGAAGAGATGTGTGGCTTGTTGTAGTCCTGGACCAAATGTTCTGCTGCTCTTTGTAAAACCCTCCAGCTTCAATGAGAAGAAGAGACAAAGACTGAAGCGCATCCTGAGTCTGTTTGGGGAAGATGCTTTTAAACACTCGATGGTCGTCATGACGCATGAAGGGACTGAAAGTTCAGCTGTTAATCAGCTGCTTGAGGACTGTGAAGAAAGACAGTACCACATGGTGAACAATGACCAAAGGTCCTTGATGAAGACGATCAGTAGCATTGTGCATCAAAACAAAGGAGCCTTCCTCACAATCACAGAAGAGACAAGAAGACCAAAGTCTGAACCCATCAAACCTCCTCTGAACCTGGTTCTGTGTGGGAGGAGAGGAGCAGAGAAGACTTCAGCAGCTGAGGCCATTTTAGGTCAGACAGAGCTTCATTCAGCCTCCAGCTCATCAGTTAAAGTCCAGGGAGAGGTGTGTGGACGTCGGGTTTCCCTGCTGGAGCTGCCTGCCTTGTATGGAAAACCTCAGGAGGCAGTGATGGAGGAATCCTTCAGGTGTATCTCCCTCTGTGATCCTGAGGGCGTCCATGCCTTCATCCTGGTCCTACCTGTGGGTCCCGTCACTGATGAAGACAAGGCAGAGTTACAGACCATCCGGAAAACATTTGGTTCTCAGGTCGATGACTTCTCCCTCATTCTGTTCACTGTGGAGTCAGATCCTACAGCTCCAGCTGTTGTTGACTTTAAAAGACAGAACAGAGACATCCAGGAGCTCTGTCAGAGCTGTGGAGGAAGATCTGTTGTTGTCAACATGAAGGACAAGCAGCAGATCCCAGAGCTGCTGGATCAAGTGGACCAGATGAGACAATCTATGGATACACCAGAGTGCTACACAACAAGAACCTATGCATGTGCTGAAGAAGCAAAAGTCCGACAACAAGAAAAAATAATTAACACCCTGGAGGCTAAAGTGAAGGAGCTGCAGTCAAAAACATCAGCCAGTTGTAAGTATAGTACTTCATGGATTTACAGTCCCAAACATAAGTTTCCATCCACTTGTAAAGATCACATATATCTTGACAGTCTGGAGTTTCCAGTGACTCCTATAACTCTGAATTTTGTATGATCGAATCATTGAAACATATGAATCTTTGTCACAAAAAAAAAATCAATTTTGGTTGTTTCACAGGTCTTCTGGAAATATGTCAAAAATATGAATATAGAAATGTTAACATTTGGTTAAATGTCCCTTGATCATTTCATTTCCA